AAGGCGGGGAGCTACAGTTCCAAACAGAAGTTGAAATGATTAGCATGGCTGTCCACCGCAATCTGCTTCGTCTGCGTGGATTTTGCATGACACCAACAGAAAGGCTGCTTGTATATCCTTATATGGCTAATGGAAGTGTAGCATCATGTTTAAGAGGTAGTGTTTTAAATTCTTTGCTATGTTGATGAATCTATTTTTTTCTTGACATTAGGAAATTATTTCGAATACATTGATTCAATAAATTAATTTTTCAGTTTTAAGTTACCTTTGTGATGTTGATCTTATTTCTTCTAATTTGAGGATACCAACAAATTCTTTTTTATCTTTTCCTTTGGGGAGGTATGGTGAGATCACACGACCTATTCTGTAATTCTGCTTTCATGATTATGTCTATGAATTATTGTAGATCGTCCAGAAGCACAGCCTCCACTTGATTGGGAAATAAGAAAACGCATATCATTGGGATCTGCAAGAGGTCTTGCTTATTTGCATGATCATTGTGATCCGAAAATTATTCACCGTGATGTCAAAGCTGCAAACATATTGTTAGATGAGGAATTCGAAGCAGTTGTTGGAGACTTTGGATTGGCTAAACTCATGGATTACAAAGATACGCATGTTACCACAGCTGTACGTGGCACAATTGGTCATATAGCACCAGAGTATCTCTCAACTGGAAAGTCGTCGGAGAAAACTGATGTTTTTGGATATGGAGTCATGCTTCTTGAACTTGTCACTGGGAAGACGGCTATTCATCTTGCTCTGCTTGCAAATAATGATGATGTGATGTTGCTTGATTGGGTATGCATTTACGTTTTTCTATTTCTGTATGTAGCTAATTTATTATTCAATGCAGATTAGATAGTTCCCTGTGAAGGTTTCTGTAATTGTTTTGGGTAGTTGCCTGAAAAATAATTAAAAGATAGTAATAGTTATTTAAACAGCTGGTCAGTTCCTGTTGGATGCATGTAGAAAATGTAGAACAGACTTGTCCTTTTTGGCTCAAATGTAGAAAACAGTTACAATGATGGACGGAAGAAGAAAAAATTATATTTACTTTAGGTGTAGGCAGAAAAAGCTTAGAAAATCAGTTCAATTTGATTAGCTTTTACTAATTGAAAGTACATTTTAGCTGAAATTTTTTATTTAGCTTTATTTACAACATTTAAGTTTTATCTATTAGAGATTAATCATAATGTTATTTTAGCACCTATATTGTTATTAATATAATTTGTATAATCACTAATATATATTATACTATTATTTGTTGTTATCGTTATAATTTTTGTTCTTGTTGGTTGGCCTTACTGTGATTGTTTGAAAGTGACAACTACTTTGGTTCATTATATTAGGTTATCATACCAAACTACTTTGGTCCATTACACGCTTTCATGTTTAAACATTATGGGCACATTTGTGCTGTCCCTGGTACCATATTTTTCTTTTCAACTCGTGGAACTACCTAACTGTTATTTTTTTCAAAATAAAATTTAGGTCAAAGGATTGTTGAAAGATCGGAGATTGGAAGCTCTTGTTGATGCTGATCTAAATGGTAACTATAACGACGACGAAGTGGAGCAGCTGGTCCAAGTAGCTCTACTCTGCACGCAAGGCGCCCCAGGGGAAAGGCCCAAGATGTCAGAGGTTGTCAGAATGCTTGAAGGGGATGGTTTGGCGGAAAGATGGGAGGAGTGGCAGAAAGAGGAGATGTTCCGCCAAGACTTCAACCGTATTCAACATGCAAGTTTTATTTGGATCATGGACTAGTTCTCAAATTCCACCCGATGAGTTGTCCGGTCCCAGGCAGGGGCGGATGCACATTGGGACAAGAGGGGTCGGACGACCCCTTGGAAGGCTGGAAAATTGGCAAGGGACTCCATTGAAGCCCCCTTGGATGCACGCCAACTGCTCGACGAAAGTCCTAGGAGGAAGAGAAGCTTGCTGCGCAGCTGCGCTGCGTGTGATTTTTTTTTTTAAACAGCCTTGCCAAACGACGTCGTTTGGTCCAAGGCTCAGTCAATTTTTTTTTAAATGACCTGGCCTCAAAACAACTTCGTTTTGGGCCAGTTTAAAAAAAAAAAAAAAACAAAAAAAAAAAAAACCAGAACAACACAGCCTTCGAATCTGCACAGCAGCCCCAAACCTTTCATTCCCAATTTCACACCTCCTCTCCCCACCCTCTCAAACCCTAACCTCTCCCCCAATCTCCTAACCTCCGACAACCTCCATCATCAACTCTTCGTTGGGCCACCAATCACCGCAGTTCGCCGCCGTCCTCCCTCCGCCCTTGTTTTCAACTACAAGTAAGCTTGGCAATGAAATTTATGGATACGTTGATAATATATATTGTTGTTGATATTGATTTTTTTTTTTTTTTATGTAATGAAATTTACGGATATGAATTATATTGATTGATTGAATTTATGCTTTATTGAGTTTATGCTTGAAATTTATGGATATGAATAATATTGATATTTTTTGTATGTAATGAAATTTATGGATATGATATGAATCATAGTGATAATCATATTAATGTAGATTGATTGAGTTTATGCTTTATTGAAAATGTGAATTGATTGAGTATATTGAATATTAATTGATATTTTGATAAGGTTTTTTAGTATATTGAATATTGATTGATATGGGTTTACGGAGTATATTGAATTTTGAGAGTAGGTTATTGACATTTTCATATTCATATGATAATTTGGATAAAAATTAATGATTGATTGAATTAATTGATTTGTAGATTTGTGGAATGATTCTTTAATGCATTACTTAAGTGCACTAGGTATTTGTTGCGACAAGGTCTTTCTTTTCGTGGTCATGATGAAAGTGCACAATCAAGTAATAGAGTGAATTATTTAGAGCTCTTGCAATTTCTTGCGGATCATGATGAAAAAGTTAAGGCCGTTGTGTTGGAAAATGCTCTAGGAAATTTAAAGTTAATAGCTCATTCAATTCAAAAAGATTTTGTCAATTCTTGTGCTAAAGAAACCATTGGTCTTATTTTGAGTGATGTAAAATATAGATATTTTTCAATAATGGTGGATGAAGCATGTGATGTTTCAATAAAGGAGCAAATGGCGATAGTGCTTCGTTATGTGAATGACAAAGGACAAATAATTGAAAGGTTTGTGAGGGTTCAACATGTGACCGACACTACTTCAAGTGTACTAAAGGAAGCCATTGATGAATTCTTTTCTTCCGCGAATTTGAGCTTTTCCAAGCTACGAAGACAAGGTTATGATGGAGCTAGTAATATGAGAGGTGAGTTCAATGGCCTTAAGACAAAGATTTTGAGAGAACAACCTTGTGCATTTTATGTTCATTGTTTTGCTCGTCAACTTCAACTAGCTCTTGTTGTGGTAGCAAAGAAAAACGTTGATGTCAACTCTTTTTTCACAACGGCTAATAGTTTGGTTAATGTTGTTGAAGCATCTTGTAAGCGTCGGGATGCACTTAGAGCACAATACCAAGAAGAGCTTGTGAGAGCTTTTGAAGAAGATTGTCTTATAACGGGGCGGGGCTTAAATCAAGAAACTACTCTCAAACGTGCCCGCGATACACGATGGAACTCACATTATGGTACGTTGATTAGTATGAGTTTGTGTTTCACTTATTTTTAATGAAAGCTATATTGGGAATAACAAACACTTTGTCTCTAGCATTGCAAAAGAAAGATCAAGACATTGTGAGTGCAATGAGTTTAGTGACAACATGCAAGGAAAACCTGCAGTTCATGAGGGATAATGAGTTTGAAGAATTGGTTGAGCAAGCATCTTTGTTTTGTTACAAACATGATATTACAGTTCCTACCATAAATGAGGAATATGTAATTCCAGGGAGGTTACGGTGTCATGCTCCAATGAAGACAAATTATCATCGTTATCGTGTGGAGATCTTTATTCATGTAATTGATGGACAACTTGCGGAATTAAATGATCGCTTCAACGAGGTAAGTACTGAGTTACTTACTTGTTTGGCATGCTTGTGTCCAAAAATTAACTTTGTAGCTTTTGACAAACGAAAGCTAGTTCGTCTTGCTCAATTTTATCCTGATGATTTTTCGGATAGAGACTTATTGATGCTTGAAGATCAACTTGGTGTTTATGTTCATCATATGCGTTCGAGTATTGATTTTTCTCAATTGGAAGGGATTAGTAGTCTTGCGGAAAAAATGGTGGAGAAAGGAATGCATGAAATATTTCCTTATGTGTATTTGCATTTTACATTGGCTTTGGTTTTACCGGTTGCAACTACTTCAGTGGAGAGGGTATTTTCCGCCATGAATATTATTAAAAATCAACTCCGCAACAGAATGGGAGATCAATGGTTGAATAATAGCTTGATTGTTTACATTGAGAGAGATGTTTTTGCTTGTATTGATAACGAAACTATAATGCAACGTTTTCAGAATATGAAAACTCGTCGTGGACAATTGTAATTTGTATTATTGGTTTTGTTATGAATTATGAATGGAAGTACTATCTTTCTATCTTTTTAGCATTATTTTCTTTGTAGAAAAATTTCAGAACTTTTACACTAAGCCCCCTTGGCCACATAATCCTGGATCCGCCACTGGTCCCGGGTGATACGCTCCTTCATTCCGTCCTCTGTATACATGTAAGAAGCCTTCAGGAATTGACAAGGCCCATTTTGTATTTCAGCAATACTACATTTGTGTATATGTTTGTCTTTTCTCCTCTTATTTGCTTTTGTTTTCCATTGTATTCTTCTCTAATGTCTTGTTTATATCACACAATGGAGCTGGTGCTGCTGTAATTTTTATAGGGTTGTTAACTGGCATTATGAAATTATGGTGCTAGCAACACGGCAGGAACTAGGAAGGGCCATAAAAGCACCCATTCCTTATCATTTTTATGTACCCGGAAATTAGTCAAGATTGTCGAATAAATAAATCTTTATTTCCTGCATCGCAGAATGATTTTGTATTAAAATTAAGGTGTTCCATTACCGTACATATTACCATGTCATCATTCCTTTCTGGTTCATTTTTACTAGTGGCCAAGCTATGGTCTATGATTCGAATGTAAATGGAAAAAATCCTTCAGCAATGCAAAATTCATGCGGGGTGAATTAAGAAACAATGTGTGCTATTCGTAGAAGTGTATTGTTTTTTCCTCTTTTTGGGGTTGTGGAGGGAGGGCTTAAATAGGTGTCTGGGAACTCATGAATCATGATCTATTATGTGTCTTATAACTTATAATCTCTATCCCCGTTAAGCATTTCACCTCCATCCCACCATTCCCATCTCTATCCTCATTAAGCATTTCACTTCCGTCTTCATACCCACAATATTCAAATTGGGGATTGCCCATCCTTGCCTTCATTGGTGACCTGCCCTATTACACAACCATGGTCAAGAAGCGGCCGTTAATAGAGGTGTTATGTTCAAGAAGCATGACTCCATATCCAAAAACATCAGTTTTCTCTGACGACTTTCCAGTTGAGATATACTCTGGCGCTATATGACCCATTGTGCCACGTACAGCTGTGGTAACGTGTGTATCCTTGTAATCCATGAGTTTGGCCAATCCAAAGTCTCCAACAACTGCTTCGAATTCCTCATCTAACAATATGTTTGCAGCTTTCACATCACGGTGAATAATTTTCGGATCACAGTGATCATGTAAATAAGCAAGGCCTCTTGCAGATCCCAATGCGATGCGTTTTCTTTTTTCCCAATCAAGTGGAGGCTGTGCTTCTGTACGATCTACATTAATGTATAGACATAATCATGAAAGCAGAATTACAGAATAGGTCATGTGATCTCACCATAACTCCCCAAACCCAAAAACTTGTTCATCTTGGTATCCTCAAATTAGACGGAAATAAGATCAACATCAAGAATTCGAAATAATTTGTTAATGTCATGAAAACATAGAATGATCCACGTAGCAAAGAATTTAAAAGACTACCTCTTAAACATGATGCTACACTTCCATTAGCCATATAAGGATATACAAGCAGCTTTTCTGTTTGTGTCATGCAAAATCCGCGGAGACGAAGCAGATTGCGGTGGACAGCCATGGTAATCAGTCCAACTTCTGTTTGGAACTGTAGCTCCTCACCTTGTGTTTTCTCCGCTTTGAGTCTTTTTACAGCCACCAGAGTCCCATCAGCTAAACGTCCTTTATAAACCGTACCAAATCCACCTCTACCTAGAATATTTCTATGGCTAAAGGTATCTGTTGCAACTTGTAGCTCATGCAAAGAATACCTACTAAGCTGTCGGAAATTGACTTCTCGATCCTCGTCCGCTGCAGGCCTTCTGATCTGTGTGACATCGACTTCTGGATCCTCGTCTGCTGCAGAGTTTATACATAAGTAAAACATACACCCCATGTGTTAGTGTGTGGAAGTTGCGGCTGGGAGGAGAATGTCCGGCCGGTTGGACTCGACTCGAGCTATTGAAGTTGCCACTGGGTCTCCGGATTTGTTACTGTTGAAACTCGCGGATGGAGCTTTGAGGCCGAGCCCAAAGAGGGAGAGATGTGCGGCTCCTCTACCTCTCGGAACCGAAGCTGAACCACCGACGTATCGGTTTACCGAACGAACAGTTCGGTTTCCGAGGGAGACAGAGGCAGCGAGCGGAGAGTTTCCGAACTGTTCTCTCCTTCTTTTCTCCCAAACAGGCCCGAAGTAACGGCGCAAAGACAGAGAGAAAGAGAGAGAGCGGGACAGGGAGAAGAGGAGATGAAGTCTTGCATTGTTGGAAGTTTCTTGTGCTTTTCTCTTCTTTGCCCAAGACTTCATCTACAAAATTGGTCAACAAGTATCATAAATTTAGTAATAAAAAAGAAAATAAAAATTTTAAAGTAAAATTGAAATAGTTATCAAACGGGTCCTAAATTTTTTATTAATGCCATATAATTAAATTGTTTGAAATGAAATATTAACAATGTTCAGAGGTTATGTTGCGTTGTTGTATGATATTCAGATATGGACACAAAAGTTATGAACTAATGAATTTAGGCCAACGGTTTTTAATTAAAACCATTACATAATTTTTTAAATTTATATTTAGGAAAAAATAATAATTTGTTTTTAATGAAACGAATTTAAAAAAAAAATTAAGCATTGAATGCTTTCCCTTTTCTTTTCTTTAGCAGGGAACTTTATTTTCTGAATAAAGTTCATTGTGCCCATCAATTCTATTTTTGTTGCTCTAACACTAATTTTAAAATACCTATTTTACCTTTATACGTAATTATCACTAGCCCCTTGGCACATGAGTGAGCATGTGCCAGTTGGTTTTCTTTTTTCCTTTTCATTTTATTTTTCAAATTAAAAAAAGATAATATTGGTAGTTATCTTCCATAAAAGTATGAGCTATTATCAATTTTTATTTTTATTTTTAATATAAAAAATGCAAATTTACCATATTATCCTCATTTAATTAATAATTTTAATTCTTAATGTTTGAATTAACCAAGGGCATTTTATGGTATTTTGAACACCATTCTCTACCTTTTGCTTTAAATATATAGATTAAAGACAAAGAACATTTAAAATAAAAAATAAAGAATCTTATCACTAGATCCAACATAATAATATACATTCTGCAACCCTAGTTAGACTTATTTTTCAGACTACTTTTTCAAGCTATCATATTGCTAGATTCTTGTTCTCGTAACTAAACCATAACAAGTGCAATTACGCTTAATTATATTGGTCAAACCATATATACTATTTACCCATGATGAAGGGTGAAATTGAAGTAAGGGAGTTTTCGAATGAGGCATGAGTTAATTTTGTTGTGTTTTATAAGTGTTTAGTTACATGGTGGTCGCTACTTTTCCAATACTAAATTTTGGTGAGTTTAGTTGTAGATGACCGAAATTTAACCTAATATTTGGTGTCATTCTATCATGAAATTGAAAGTAGTTTAGTTGTATTTGACAGAATTTGTACCTATTACTTGGTGGTGACCCACCGAAAATTATTCATTTTTTCAATAAGTTGTCGACCATAAACTTAATGCAATATATTTTTCCTTTTTCCTATTGAATTAACAAAAAGAAGGTGACGCTGCTGTTGAAAGCAAAAATATTGGACTAGAATGTGTAATGGACTACAGTGATCAATTCATAGCTTACGAGGTAATCATTTTTAGTAAATTTTTTTTTTGGGTCTAAAATCTTGTTTTTTTTAATATGCAAGCGATAATCTAAGGGAGGGGGATTTGATCTCGGGTGCAGAGTGGGGAGCACATCCGTTTTAGCCAACTTGGTTAAGCCCATGCGTATTGTCTTAACCAGTTTTAGTATCATTAACGTGACATTACATTTCAAATTTTAATTTCAAATCACATGAGTGTTATGTGTAGATATTCAAAGGGCATTATTTAGATGGGATCGTGCACAAGGAAAGATGAATAATATCGTAATTGTTATTAGAAGGTCTAATTATGGAGTTAAGGGCAAGAGGTTGAAGAGACCTCGAGTAACACTGGCTTGTAAGAGAAAAGGTAAATATGAGACAAATGGTGCAAGGTTAGATGCAAATGGTAATATGAAAAAGCATTAGAGGAACACTGGTAACATGAAATGTGGATGCCCATTCTTGTTAAAGGGTGTCAATATTGGTGATAGGGATGATTGGAAGTTAGAGGTGGTTTGTGAAATACGTAGCCATGCTACTTCGGAGTATCTTGAAGGTCATTAATTGCACTTTCTGAAGAGAAGAATGCTTTGTTGGTGGACATGTCTAAGAGTTTGGTGAAACTCGTATATTTTGGTCACCCTAAAAGATAGGAATGCAATGAATGTTTCAACTATCACGATAATATACAATACTGGGATCTGAAATATAACAAAAGAATTTACTAGATGAACACAGATTCAACAATTGATTATTAAGTTATCCAAACACAATTGATTTTGTTGATGATGATCATTATATCCAAGTATGAATTTATTTGTCTAAGAACCCTCTCAAGATGGTAGGGATCAACAACATCACAACACTTGAGCAAAGCATCCATGACTTTTAGGTTTATGTGAGTTTTAATTTTGAGGGTAGTTGTGTATATTTAAGAAGATTTTATGCTATATCAGAAAGTTTTTATAAAAATTTACATTTATGAAATTATATGAGTTAGATTTTGGCCTTTTTATCATGCAGGGGCTAACAATGAACAATTATGTTAAAGACTAAACAGTACGAGCTTACAATCCTTCATAGTACTTAAATTTTAGTTTATAATAATTTAGTTTTTATATATAATGATTTTGCGAATTTTGACCCTGCACTAGCAATTCAACTAAAGGAACCTAACGGTAGTAGTAGAGGTAAATGTCTATGTTAGAACCTGTAAGGTCGCATTAGAATAAGCACAAACATCAAAGGACTGAAATTTAGCCAAAACTTTTTAAGGTTTTGAATTCTCGGAACAAAAGAACAAGATCCAGTCATATCATTGTAGCTCCAGGAAAGGAATATTTGCAGCACAACCTAGTCTAAGAACAAACTGATGGGAGCAGCTTCACGAGGAATGGAAACTCAAAAAAGGACTAGAGGAACCCTCCTGTGTCTGACCGGAAAAAAAATTCCTGTCTAAACGTCTGTCAGAGGGGCTAGCCTTGCTCATACGTTGGTAACTAACAACTTGCATATACAGAAATAGCTCATAACCGACATGGCTGGTCGACCAGCTTCACCTTTTTCCACCAGTGTTAACTCGTGGTTTGCTTTTAACCTCGGCTTCCTGAAAACAAAGAAAAATATAAACATCCAGTCTTGAGTATTTTCAGGCCATCATGAACAAAATTGTTGAAATGTATTGTCTGAATATACCTGTGGCAAATGGAGGAAAATGTAGTTCTTTGCGGTAGCTGGATTATGATTTTCTGCACCCTTGCTCCAATCATAGCAAACCTGCAAACAAAAGTTCAGAAAACATCTTCAATATAATATTTAAATTATGAGAAGAAAATATGTGGAGAGTTCGTTTGAGTCTTGTGCAATCAGTTTTCAAGTCATATTTGCTTGTACAGAAAGGATAACCAAGGTGTAATGCGAGGAATTTAATTACTCTAAGAGATTGTAACCATAGACCACCATTAGTCACTTGTGTACACAAAGAAACATCATTGTACAATGGCACACAACAAGAGATCGCACAATGACAATCTAAATATTCAAGGATGGTTTACTATAAAGTCATAATATAGTTGTGGCCATAATAGTGTACAGTTCAATGACCTCTCCTGATAAAGGTTTAGCTGGCCATACTCTGTTTCCAAAAATGTAATCTAACATAACTACTTCTACCACTTTAAACCAGTTGAAGAACATGAATTGTATGCATGTACACAACTACCAGTCATTTCCGACCCCAGATTTGAAAGAGGAAACCCAGAAAAGTTAGGATGGTATTTCCCTTTTTCTAAATTTACATTACACAATGACTCAGTCACATGAATCAATAATATTAACAGTCGAGAATGATCTTAAGTAGAGCATGACACTAATTTAGTGGAAATTTAAGCACAAAGTGTATGAGAGAGCCCTCAGAATATTCTTATAGATCAATGAAGTCATGACGCAAGGTGTATGTGCGAGTGTGTTGTGAAAACACTGCTATAGATTAGTCTGCCTTGGTATGAGTTAGTGCTGTGAATTTATGTGCGCAGGTGGTGCGCGTGAATACAGAGAGAGAGAGAGAGAGAGAGAGAGAGTCTTCATATTGGTTGTGCAATCATGAAGAAAGAGAATTACCGCATATGCAAATATGGAACCATCATTGTTGAATGTACTGCAAGGTATAGGTTGATTGCACCTTGACATTGCCTGAAAAATCAGAAAAAAGTTGTATTAGACACCTATATGCATATAACATAGGATTAGCCATAGACCGAACATATAAACAAGAGAGTTGGAGAAGCACATAATACAAAGACAAAAGAAATAGAAAATAGATGTGGGAGAAACCTTCAGTCTCTGTTTGCTATCCTTATCCCAAAAATTGAAAGAACCATCGGAACCAGCAGTAGTAAATGTGTGATGCACCTGAGACAAGGGACACAAATAAGCTTTAAAATTAGAAATAATAGTAATAGAACACGAAAACACAGATTTATCCAAAATTTCTTTGAACAACCCTAACAAGAACCATAATGAAATGGCAATGAATGCTGGAAAAAAAGTTTGGACTGATCATAGAAAAATTAGGCATTCCCAGTCATAATTCTGAAGTAAAACAAAGAACACTGATCCAAATGCACTTACAGTTACCTCATATAATAGAACAAAATCAACTGAAATATATTTAAAGGAAACTTTAAAATTCGTGCATATGCCAATAAATCCACTGATATAAAAAATCTGAAACCTGAACAACAGATAGTATAAAATCGGGAACCTTCACAATAGATAGAATAATATACAAGTCCTGTAATTTTAAGGTGAGGGCTGTACCAATGATACTAATACCATACTTCTACAAAAAAAACATCATAGTCTATGAATGACAAGGTTGAAAACAATCTCTGTGATTTTTTCTTAACCAGGATACTGAAACATGAGAACACTAAATTAACGAAGAGGTTTCATAAGTTTAAGGTAATCCACCAGAAGAAATACAAACATTATTAAACCTCTCAGTGCATTATCCAGAAATATAAATATGTATACGAAGAAGGAAAAAGACAAAGGAATAATACAAATCATACTGGATGGAAGTTCAG